AGTATGGGGAAAGGATACAGCCCTGACACACACCCTGAACCCACAGATAGATAGAGCTTCTCTATCTTCTCTTTCCACAGATGTACTCAGTTTGATTCCTGCGTATTCCATCTGGCAAGGTCCATTTGTATAGCTGCTGTTTATGTTGTTGAAAAAAGGTATTTGCAGGGAATAAGTCATCTGTCTTGCAAAATTCTATTATGCAATCTCCAGTGTCATTTCTATCACCAAGGCCAATATATTTTCCAACTACTGATGATTCATCTTTATTTCCAACTTTCACATTCCAATCATCAGTAATTATTAATACCTCTTGATTGCATGCTTGGTCAATTTCAGGCTGCAGAAGTGAGTAAAAGTCTTTCATTTCTTCATCTTTGGCTTTACTGTTTGATGTGTAAATTTGAATAATAGTAGTATTAACTGGTCTTCTTGTAGTGTATAGATATTTTATCATTGACAGCTTTGTACTTAAGGATAGATCTTGAAATGTGGTTTTTGGTGGTGAATGTGACACCATTCCTTTTTAATATGTCATTCCTGGCATAATAGACCATATGATTTTCTGATTCAAAATGGGCAAAATCAGTCCATTTCAGCTCACGAATGCCTAGGATGTTGATCTTTATGTTTTTCATTTCATTTTTGACACCTTTCCAATTTTCCTGGATTTGTACTTTGTACATTTCATATTCCAATTATTAATGGGTATCTTCTCATTTTGAATCATGCAATATCAGAAAATGAAGGTCCAGAAAGCTTTACTCCATCCATGTCATTAAGGTCAACTCTACTTTGGGAAGGCAGCTCTTCCCCAGTTATATTTTGAGTACCTTTCAACTCAAGGGGCTCATTTTCTGGCACTGTATCAGATAATATTTCCCGGCTGTTCATTAGGGGAGCTCTGGTAGCATAGTGCCTAAGGCACTTGACTGCTAACCAGAATGCTGGTGGTTCAAACCCACCAGCCACTCCTCGGAAGGAAGATGGGGAAATCTACTTCCGTAGTGATACTGCCTCGAAACCCAAGGAAGGGTCGCTATGAGTCATGTCCAACCGAGGGCACATAACAACAACAGCTATTCATTAGGTTTTCAGTGACTTAAGTTTTTCATAAGTGGACTTGGCCACATCTTCTTCCTAATCTTTGTTAGTCTGGAAGCTCCGCTGAGACCTGTCCACCAAGGATGACCCTGCTGGTATTCGAAATATTAGTGGCATAACTTCCAGCATCACAGCAACACACAGGCCACCATAGTACAACAAAGTGACGATGAGTGTTGGGGGGAAAGAAAAGAAGTGGTATTCTGTGAAAATTGTGTCTAGTTGTACTCAAAACTTAAGCAGTTGTCCACCTGCTTTTCCTTGCAATAACTGTTGTACTTGAGTATGGAACAGAAGTGGTTTATGCATGATACCCTATTTCACACAGACAACTCAAAGGTTGACATTTTATAATTTCCATAATGTTGATATTTACTAAAAACAATAACTTTTACTTCTTTATCGAGGACATTCTTAAGTTAAACTTTTTTTTTAAATTTGTATTGTGATTTGGGTGAAAGTTTACAGAGCAAATTCATTTCCCATACAGTAGTTCATACACATTTTGTCTGATGACATTGACTGCAATTCCCCACAGTTTAACAGCTTTCTTCCCACTTCCTCCCCATAGTTAACTTCTTCCCTGTGTCCTTCCCTCCCATGCACTCCTCCCCCACCCCCAAGCTGTTTCCCTGTGCAAACACTGCACTTCTGTTCTCCCATGATTGTTCACTCCAAGGAGTGCATCTACCTAATATGAATGTTCAGCTCATATGCTTGTCTTTTGTTTGCCTGGAAGTGACAGGCATGAGTTCAGTTCCAGACCTGAACCGTGGGTAGGGGCCGTAGTCTCAGGTGTTTCACCAGGTTCTATCAGACCAGCAAACGTGGTCTTTTTTTATGTTTTTGAGTTTTGTTCCACGTTGTTCTCCCACTCTATCCAGGATCTCCTGTACCAGTTCCCCTCCAAGGGGTTGAGAGTGGTAGCTAGGCACCATCTAGTTCTTCTGGTCTCATGGTCATAGAGACTAAAGATTGCATGGTCTGCCACTCCCTTGGACTAATTGTTTCCATGTGTCTTTGGTTTTCTACATTTTTCTTTGCTCTAGATGAGGAGAGACTCATCGTTGCATTTAGATGGCTGGTTGCAAGCTTTTAAGATCCCAGTCACTACTCACCAAAGTAGAATGTAGTACAGTGTTTTTGTGTAGTATGGTATGCCAGTTGAGCTTGGTGTCTCCTGTGACCATGGTCCTGAGCTCAGAGATCCAACTCCTCGCTTCCTCCGGGTAGCTGGCTGTGGCCAAGAAGCCACCACAACCTTGCCCCTTGTCAGTTGTACTATATACCTGGACATTCTTACAGTGTATACAAGTATGCATGTAGAAACATTGTCTGCTGACTCTATATGGTCATGGGTCTTTTTTTTTTAATGTAAGTACATGGTGTTCTGGTTACCTAGTGCTGCTCTGACAGGAATATACCACAAATGGGATGGCTTTAACAAACAGGAGTTTATTCTCTTGCAGTTCAGGAGGCTAGAAGTCTGAGTTCCAAGTGCCAGGCTCTAGTGGCTGTGTGAAAGCCCCTTGACCTTGGGCTTCAGCTCTGCCTCCTGCTCCCGGCCCACTGAAGTTAGGTGTCTCTTTACTCAGGCAGCTACTGGCTGCTGAGGCTAACAAGCTCAAGGTTGACAAATAAAAAGGCACAGTCCTGGTGTTACCAAACTACACAGCAGGCCATTAACTCAAGTACATTAAAAGTCCCAAAGTCAGCAGAACATGGCAGGCTGATAAATGCAGCTACATGTGGGGTTTCAGTGTGCCATAAGCTGGAGACCATTCCCAAAGCTGTTTCTTATATACAGGAAGCAGACCACATACCCAAAACAGCTACTCAGCTGTTCCAATAGATTCCACCAGGGAGTTAATTACTAATCTCACCATGGGGAATAACTGCATTGAGCTGCCCAGCCACTCAACCAGGCCCAGCCAAGTTGACACACAAACTTAACCTCCACACATGGTGATGAATACAGTGACTATTAAGTTTGGTGCCACTACTTGATTTGTGGTAACGTGCAGTACTATACCCACCATTGCTTTTGGACTATATCTGCACTTATCAACAAAAAGCCAACAAATAGAACATTAGTGTTATTATGAAAATGGTTTGACCTTGGGGATTTTTCAGAGGTTTGTGTCTGTAAACCACATCTACAGAGCTGCTACTTTATGGGAAGAACCACATGCTTTTTTAGTTAAGTGTTGTGAAAAATTTATCGTCTGTGTTGTATCAGATTATCTCATTAACAATATCTTAACACAGAGTTTGAATCTTTTCTGACTCATTAGAATTTTTTAGTTCTAGCTTTCTTGACTGTTTTTCCATCCTTATTGTTGTTGTTGTTGTTATTTGCCATCGAGTCGGCCCCGACTCATAGCGACCCCTCCTTGGGTTTCCAAGGCATCCTTATTAGGAACTTTTAATCTTCTCTATTAAACTGTAGGGTAGAGTTTTCCTACACCCTTTGAAACCTACTTTAACAAAGAACGTAGGCCACTTCCTTCCACAGACTGGCAATTGCTGAGCACCTTACAGTCATTCATTCATTCATTTGATAAATATTTATTAAATGTCTGTTTTGTGCTAGCCCTTGGACTAAGCCTTACAAGTCATTGAAATAGTTCTTCCAACTTTCTTAGTTCAAGACTTTTAGAAAGTTCTTTGTAGCCACTACAGAAATTCCTGAAAACTTGCTTCAAAGGTGTCTGCCCTTGTTCTTATCTCTACCAATTTGTTAGTGCAGGCACTTTGAACAGTAGCACTTACCCACGGTTCCTAGTGGGAGCTCTGGTAGGATAGTGCCTAAGGCACTTGACTGCTAACCAGAAGGCTGGGGGTTCAAACCCACCAGCCACTCCTCAGAAAGGAGGTTGAGTCAGGGCCACATAACAACAACATGGTTCTTAGTAATTTCCCAAAATTATTATTTGTTTCATATTTTCTAACCATTTCCATTCCATTAAACAGTTTGAGAAATTGAATTAAGACACCTGGGTTTCTGTCTCAGTCTTCTCTTGAATCTTTGTGCTCATTAATTACTCTTAATGTTCCCCCTTTTTGTTAGGATAAATACGTGCTTAATGCTGAAAATAAGGAGCAACTAATTAATGGATGGGAGCTCTGGTAGCATAGTGCCTAAGGCACTTGACTGCTAACCAGAAAGCTGGTGGTTCAAACCCACCAGCCACTCCTTGGAAGGAAGGTTGGGCAATCTACTTCCGTAGTGATACTGCCTCGGAAACCCAAGGAGGGGTCGCTATGAGTCGGATCTGACTCAACAGCACATAACAACAACAATAATTAATGGATTAGTAGTGGTTTTCCCTTCTATAAAGTTACTGGTTGAAAGTTCTCTCTGTGTAATGTGAGGTAGCCAAAATGTTTTAATTTTCCTCTTAACAGCTATTGAGTTCTTCATATTCTTCCTGCAACATTTCCTGTGAATTTTAAGGGAGAGAAGGAATCTGAAAGAGCGGTCATCATAAGCCCTTAACTGATGCTTGAATCTCTTCTACAGCATCCTGTAGCAATTCTTTTTGCAATGATACAAATGATATACAACTAATAACATTCTTGGGGAACAATTTTGAAGTGTTTTATTAGAAATGTGGTTACTAAAAACTGAAAATGAATGTAAGTGTAATGTTAAAAAAAAAAGGAGCTCTGGCTTCGTAGTGCCTAAGGCATTTGACTGCTAACCAGAAGGTTGGTGGTGGTTCAAACCCACCAGCCACTCTGTGGAAGGAAGACTGGGCAATCTACTTCCGTAAAGATTTACCACCTCAGAAACCCAAAGGGGGGGGTCAGGATGAGTCGGAATCGAGTGAATGGCAGTGAGTTTGGTTTTGGTATAATGTTAAAATGTATTCTCTGTAATATTTTCATTATAGGAAATAAAATCTTTGCTTTCACTTTTTGGAGGTCAGTTCACTAGCAGTCAGGAAGCTTATGGAAAGGTAAGTTAAATTATATTTTTATATGAGACCCTATGTGGTATACTTAACAGTAGAAGCTTGGGATTTGAGAGAAGAACTGCAAATCTTAAATTTATAATTGTGAAGTTACTTATATCTGTTTCTATGGGTAATCGAATAAAAAGGATATTTTGAAAAAATGGTAGCTCTGCAGACTAATTTAGATTTACTTCCAGTATTTGTTGACTTTATTAGTTTATAATTTTTAATTTAGTTGTACCATAATTTGTATCTGTGTCCTTTCATTGAAAAATGGGCTCTCTTCTGTTGAAGTATACTTAGAGTTTATAATCTTAGTAGCTGAACTTTGGGCTTCCATTGGGAATCATTTTAAACTTTGAAATTGTGTATTATGTAAGATGGTGAGCTTTGTATCTTGTTTATGATAATTTATCAGCATGTGCTTGAAAAAGTTTGAGAAAAAGAAAAAACCATTCACAGTTCTTCTTCATTGACCTGCTTTATGACTTGGTGGCTCTTCCCTCCAGTCTTTTTAGAAATACCTTTCCTTCTCAGTTGTAATTGGCCTGTCCTTGGCTTTGAGGTGTGTTCTTTTCACTGATAGCATTAATGCAGACACATGTCGCTGCACAGCCTTCATTACCTGCACAGCATTCATTCACCTACATGGCTGCGTAGTAGTTTCCATTGACTAGCTCTATCTTAATGATCTAATCATTGCATTTTCAGTCAGGTTGCTTTTAAATTTTCCTAATAAAAATAATACTAAGATGACAATCTTTTTTCCTGCTTGGGTTACTTTGTATTTTTCTCAAGGGTAGTATAAATACTGGAAGAAGAAAGAATGGATCTGACAGGGAGAATTTTTTGCAAGAGCTGAAAGAACTTAAGTTGAAAGTCCTATGAGTTGGACTTGTATTTTCACTTGAGAGGAGGAGGAGAAAAGAAGGGAGAGGGTGGGTTGAATTGGATAAGTTTGATAAACTGTGAGGTTAGTGTCTTGCTGGGTTTTATTGTTTTCTGACAAGAGGTTATTTGAGTGGGCCTTAAAAGTGCCCTTAATTTTGAATGTTGAGACAGGGGATTAGGGAAGCTCCCCTAATGCACCTAGGGCTTTTTTTTCCTTACAGGAAATGATAAATAATAAAAATTAATGATAATTTAAACATAAATCCTGTGATTTTCTATCATGGGCATTCCAGAGAGCCCTTCATCTACCTCTTCGGTGGCCACAAGTACCTAGGAAGAGAAGAATCATGTAGCAAAAAAAGAAATGTATCACTTAGAAGTTAATAATAAAATACCTGCATTATAAGGAATAATTGTAAGGAAAAAATATAGAGATTGTACTATAAGGCATAGAGTACATTAGTTTTTTTTATTCAGTCAACTTTAATAAAAGGGCAAATGCAAAATTAACCTTAAATTATATTTACTAATATTTTCACCTATAGGGTCATTTATAAAAGTGTTCTTGCTTTTTTTTTGCATTGTATTATCTATCTTAACAGGTCACCTATTTATGTATTTTTATTTTTTACTATTGGCGTGATTTTATTTTGCTTAGAATCAATCATGTATTCTTACGTGAACTAGGAATCTTCTTTTTGACTTCTTGCATAAAAGCGTATGAGGGCACATAATCACTTGGAAATAAATTGTATATTGTTATTTTTCCTTTCAGTCTCCATTTTGGATTCTAAGCATTCCCTCTGAAGATATTGCCAGAAACTTAATGAAACGGACAGTGTGTGCCAAGTAAGAGATACTTATAATATTCACCTGCATGAGTATGTATTATACTCCTCATAACTGCTCTTACCTCCCTTTTGCTATATTGTCAGAAAGTAGATGTGCAGATTGTGTGTGTGTGTGTGTGTGTGTGTGGTGTGCACACGTATTTTCAATTTACATTGCAGTTACATGCTTTTGCCACTGGGTGGTGGTAGGGGAACAGAGGAGAGTCATTCTGCTGAAACTGAGGATGAGACATTGTCAGTGATGAAGTGCAGAAGCACTTATTTTAGAATAATTGTTTGAAACTTCCATATTAAACAGGAGTATAATATGAAATATAAATGCTGTTTTATTAATAGGATAGATGCCACATTTAAGTTTGTCTAAGATTTTTAAAAAAGGCAGAAAATAAATGTTGGCAAGGATGTGGGGAAATTGGAACCCCCGTCCATTGCTGGTGGGAATGCAAAATGGTACAGCTGTTGGGAAAAACAGTGTGGGGGTTCCTCAAAAAAGTAAGAATAGAACTACCATTTGAAAAAAAACCAAACCCACTGCCACTGAGTTGATTCAAACTCATAGCGACCATTATAGGACTGAGTAGAACTGTCCCATAGGATTTCCAAGGTTGTAAATCTTTATGGAAGCAAACTGCCTCATTTTTCTTCCGCAGAGAGCCTGGTTGTTCATACCACTGACTTTCTGGTTAGCAGCCAAATGCCTTAACCATTATACTACCAGAGTGCCTATAAATCATGAAAGGTATTATTATAAAGTAATGTTTCAGTGTTAACTGAGGCTTATGCTATTAGATGCAAATCTTTTCACTCTGACCATTTAAAATATAAATTTGTTAATATGTTACATAATTTCCTTCAGGAAAAGGAGTGTTGTTGTTATGTGCTGTCAAGTCGGACCTGACTCATAGAGACCCCTCCTTGGGTTTCTGAGGCAGGATCACTGTGGAAGTAGATTGCCCCATCTTCCTTCCAAGGAGTGGCTGGTGGGTTTGAACTGCCAGCCTTCTGGTTAGCAGTCAAGTGCCTTAGGCACTATGCTACCAGAGCTCGTAGGAAAAGGAATATAGAGTATTATTTCACATTTTATTGATTCTATGTTATCATTATAAGCTTAGTTGTTACACTATACTGTGTAATAGTTGATTAGGGATAATTATGAACTGTGAAGATAATTATGAACTGTTTGCCCCTTTCCTTTCCATTTATAAATGGCTTGGAATTTCTATATTTTCTTGCATTTTTATTTCTGAGAAACAATATACCATTTTGATACAGATCATAGATTCTGAAGCCAGACCAACTGGCTTAATCTGGTTCTAACACTTATCATGTGACCTGAGAGAGTTATTTAAGGTCTTTGTGCCTTAGTTTCCTCTTTGGTTAAATGGGTAAGGATACTGGCAATTACCACATAAGGTTGCCAAAAGGAATAAATGAGTGACTATTAAATGTCCTTAGACCAGTCTTTTATACTTATGTTGATAGCTGTTCTTGAATTGACTCTGCCTCATGGTGACCTTATGTACAACAGAATAATGTTTCCTGGCCAGTCAACATCAGTGGCACGCTTGAGTGCATCGTTGCGGCTGTGGTGCTGGTCCGTCTCACCGAGGGTCTCCCTCACCCTCATTGCCCCTCTGTGTTACTTCACTAGACATGATGTCTTCCTGTAGTGATTGATCCCTCCTGTTGGCATGTCCAAAGCAGGGGAGTTAGTGTTCTGTTGTCTACCTTTTGGGGATAATTTTTGGGGATACATTACCACTTTTCTTCCTAGTTGATCTTAGTCTGGAAGCCCCACTGTGGTGATGGTGATACTGCTGGTATTTGAAATACCAGGGGCACAGCTTCAGCATCAAAGCAACATGCAAGCTACCAGGTGGCTGGTGGCTCTTGTACTTAGGATTATGTTAATGTTAACTCTTACTATTTTTTTTTTATTATTTTTGTTTTTCAAAGTTTTGTCTACCCAGAGTCGTTTTCAGATTGACAGTTATCTGTTCTACCCTAAGTTTATGCTTCAGGAATCTTTCCTCTCCCTTAGAATATAACTTTCATAAGAGCAGTGTATTTTGCTCTCTGCTCTGTCCCAGTGCCTAGAATAGTTCTTGGCATATAGTAGTTGTGAATAAATATTTGTTGAATGAATGAGTGAATAAAACAAGCTTATAATTTTTAAGCATTGAGAATAATAAAACAATCCTGAAAGCCCAAGTATTCATGACTTTGGGAAATCTTTTTCTAATAGTTTTTTTGGTTTTGTTTGCTTTTTATTCACCATATGTTTTGCATAACCGATGTTAGTCTTTAAGTGATAGTTAGGTGAGAGAGAGAGAGAGAGTGTGTGTGTGTTGTGTATGTGTGTGGACAGTGATGGTTCAGTGGTTGAATTTTCTCCTTCCATGTGAGAGACCTGCATTGGTTTCTCAGCCCATGCACCTCGTGAGTGGCCACCTGTCCTCTGGGGAGGCTTGTGTGTTACTATGATGTGGACAGGTTTCAGTGGAGCTTTAAGAGTAAGGTGGACTAGAAGAAAACCTTTGGGGGGATGTACTTTAGGAAATCAGCCAATGAAAGCCCTGCGGATCACAGTAATCCAACCTGCAACCAATCATGGAGACAGTGCAGGACCAGGCAGGATTTTGTTCCAGTTGTGCATGGGGTCGAGAGCAGCTAACAACAACAAAGTAAGAGTAGGATGGCTATAAAAGCCTTTTCTCTATAAATATTCTAGAAATAAAAGGAAGAATTAGTTTTCAAATGATAGCATTTACATTCCAGTTGTAGCAGTACTTGTAATTCTAAAGTAGTTGAATTTAGATGATCAAAACTGTGCTGATACAGAGATCAGATTCTTTTACAACCAACTCTAAAAGCTGTTTAATCACATTGCAGTGAAATTTTGCTTTAACTGTTTAAATGTTCTTTGAATCTGATGAGGACTGGAAATGTTTTTTTTTTTAATAGTAAGAATTTTGTTTTTATAGTAGTTATGATAGTGACTATGGGTAACTAAATGTTATTAAATAGTAGCTAAATATTCCCTCTGCCATCAGTCAATTCTGACTCATAGCAACCCCTCATTGGGTTTCCAAAGTGGTATATCTTTATGGAAGTAAATTGCCTCATTTTCCTTCCACAGAGCAGCTGGTAGCTTTGAACTGCCAACTTTCTGGTTAGTAATCAAACGCCTTAGGGACTGTGCCACCAGAGCTCCTTAGGTAAATAATTAGTAGTAACATTTTTATCTGGTCCTACTTATTTTTTTAAATGTTGGTGAAAATTGAATTTCCTGCAGATTTTTACTAGTTAAATTACTTTAGTAATTTTATTGTATTATTTTCTTTTTGTAGTATAAAATATAGTGGTGAAAAATTGAAAGAAAACCCCTCCCGACTTACGTTGAACTTTCCCTGCTTCTTGTAAAGTTCAAGTCCTACGTGTGGTTTGGATCTAAGCTGTATTTTCTTCCAGAATTTCTTAGAAAGTATTAGCAATAACTGTTTTAGTGGATTGGGCATAAAGAACTGGTGGAGTAATGGTTAAGTGTTACTGTGTGAACTGATTTCTTTACTGAGCTTAGTACTGATCATTTATCCCCTAGGTCTATATTTGAACTTTGGGGCCAGGGAAAATCTCCGGAGGAGCTGTACCGTTCCCTTAAAAACTACCCTGTGGAGAAGATGGTACGTAATGAAATGTGGTTTTATGTAGGTATATCTGCAGGTAGTGTAGAATTACTGAGCTTAAAATAGTATCTGCTTTTATTTTAGGTCCCATATCTACATTCAGACTCTACGTACAAAATAAAGATTCATACATTTAACAAAACGTTGACACAAGAAGAAAAAGTCAAACGAATAGATGTGAGTTTAACAAAAGCTCTATAAGATTAATCTAGTCTAGCCTCTGTTGACATATAAAACATAATGCCTGTGAAATGCTTATTTTATACTGTATTTTATGTTACTTTTCATGTTTTGTTTTGTTTGATACTGACACCAGACTTGCAAGGTGCTTATTACATAAGCACCATTTTTCCTTTTAAATTTTTGTAGTACATTAGAATTGTTTTTTATTTTTCAGGCACTTGAGTTTTTGCCATTTGAAGGAAAAGTGAATTTAAAGAAGCCACAGCATGTATTCTCTATTTTGGAGGATTACGGTTTGGACCCGAACTGCATCCCTGAACATCCACATAATATTTATTTTGGTAGATGGGTAAGCAAGTGTTCCTTCTGTCTCCGTTTGTTGTTAGCTTTAAAAGCTAGACCCAGTTTGTTTCTCTAATAGTTAAACTTAACTTCTTACCTGTAGAGATGTAAAGCAGCTGAAGAGTCAGAACTATTGTGTGGATTAAAATGATAGTGAATATGTGCACTGCTTCTTTTAATAAAGCAGAGAAAAGGCAGGGTTCTCATTTGTGGAGCTTTCCAGCCTCCGTTTTCTATTCTGAAAAGAAATAGAGTTACTGCAGAGCAGTTCTGCCTCCTCCCTGGAGGCTTTTGATGGGTAAGTGCAAGCTGTGGCTCATGTTACAGAAGGATGCCATTTAGGATAGGCCACATTGATTCACCACAGACACCTGGGATAATTGCTTTCAAATCCAGTTCAAATATGCTTTGAAAAGACATAGTAAATGGAAAGACATCAAGAAAGAGAAGATATCTGTTCATAACTACCTCAGTCACATTTTTTTAAAGGAACAAGTTTAGAGTTGTAGAAAGTAGTAAGAGGGTCTCATCATCAAGAATGTTGTTTTATTGTGAATGTTGTTACTGTTAGGTGCGATTGAGTTGCCTCTGACTCATAGCGACCCCATCTACAACAGAATGAAACACTGCCCAGTCCTGATCCATCCTCATAATCCTTTCTGTGCTTGAGCCCATGATTGCAGTCACTGTGTCAATCCATCTCATTAAGGGCCTTCCCCTTTTCCGTTGACCCTCCACTTTACCAAGCATGATATCCTTCTCCAGGGAATGGTTCCCTCTGACAACCTGACCAAAGTAGATGAGATGAAGTCTGGCCATTCTCGCTTCCAAGGAGCATTCTAGCTCTACTTCTTCCAGGACAGATTTGTTGGTTCTTCTAGCAATCTGTGGTATTTTCGGTAATTTTCACCAACACTGTAATTCAAAGGCATCAACTCTTCTTCGATCTTCCTTGTTCATCTGTCTAGCTTTCACATGCATATGGAGTGATTGAAAATACCATGGCGTGGGTGAGGTGTACCTTAATCTTCAAAGTGACATCCTTTTTTTGCTTTTTAAAACTTTAAAGAGGTCTTTTGCAGCAGATTTGCCTGTAATACGATGTCTGATTTCTTGACTACTGCTTCCATGGGTGTTGACTGTGGAGCCAAATAAAATGAAATCTTTGACAATTTCAATCTTTTCTCCATTGATCATGATGTTGCTTATTGGCCCACTGGTGAGGATTTTTTTTTTATTGTGAATGATTATCTTAAATCTTTTCTGAATGGTTATACTAATTTTAAAAATACCTCTGATCTAGATTGCAGATGGACAGAGGGAGCTTATCGAGTCATATAGTGTCAAAAAGAGACACTTTATTGGAAATACAAGTATGGATGCTGGTTTATCATTCATCATGGCCAATCATGGAAAAGTGAAAGAAAATGATATTGTCTTTGATCCATTTGTTGGAACAGGTATATTTTTATTTAACTATTAAGCTGGTGTTAGAGATAACTACTTGCATGTGCTAGTCATAGTAATACTTTCATTAAAAGATTAAATGGACAGAATACTCTCTTAATGATTATCCAGTAGTGTCTAAGACAACAACATACATGTGTAATAGCTAGTATTTAACAGTTTTCCACTTTAAGGAAAATGATACCAATAGAATTTTACGGATTTTTTTTCACAAGTAAGATAGTAGTGTTGTGGTGGCAGAGGGAGGAGTATCAGTCTGTATTCATAGTATATAAATAGCAATACCATTTAAAAATTGTTTAGGGGAGACATCTGACCTTCTCTAACTTCACAAGCGGGGAGGAGGATCAACATCAACAGCCCAGGGCTGATTGCTATGAGGCAGAGAGTAGACATGCTTCTACCCTCCAACTTTTTTACCAGTTCTAACAGCAATGGTCTTTCCCATGGCACAATGTACTTCTGTACTGGGTACCATAATTTGTTCCAAACACCAAATGGAACTCACAGACAGTACTCATGATTATGGGGCTTGTAGGGAAGTAGCAGATGACAATTCAGAATCAGAAATGACTCAGTATATGCTTCTTCAATCAGAACAGCTTCTTCTTGGCAGTGCCCATAGGCACACCTCTCTCCTTTCCTCGACCTCATGGCCTCTTGGCCTCTGCTCTTCTCAGGCTAGTATTGCAAAGCTCTTTTAGTGCTCAGAGGTACCCCACTCCACCAGTAAGCCCCCTGCTGAAGGCACTCAGCTTTCTTGCTCTGTGGGTCAGGGAGCATTGGTTCACAGAAATGTACCTAGAAACACCAATACCCTGCCTGCCCCAAAGCACACAGCTTTCTTGTTCCATAGGCAGGAAGTCCACTGCTCTGTCTCCTCCCAGGCCTTCTTCCAGGTCTCCTGGTCCTGCTGCTACTGTATCTCTGCTGCTGCGTCTTGCTGTCTCAGCAGGTGTTGAGGAGGTTCACTTGTCTCTGTCTCATGGGTTGAGGGGGTTCATTTCAGGGATCTCGGATCCAAAGGGTGGGCTCTACTCCTGGTTCTTCTTTCTTGAAGGTAATGAGATTCCCCATTTTCCACCTCTAGGGTGGCTCATTTTTAAGTCTAAGGGAATGGCTAAACTGACCAAACCCCACATTAAGGTAACATGTACCTTGTTCCTTATACCTTATACCCTCACAGGTGTGCCATGTGACTTATTTATATTATTAGGAAGCTGTCCAATCCCTGGGGGCAGGGCGCAGTAAGCCAGCCTGGGAACAGTGGAAGGCAGCTGTTTGGGTGTGTGGAGTGAGCCCCCTGGGGGGAAGGTTGCAATAGGTCAGCATGGGAGCAGCAGAAGGCTGGTGTTTGTATGGAGCGCTCAGGGGGCAGGCCAGCTAAGTGAGCAGGGCAGGGGAGACTAGGAAATGAGCAGTTTGGAACAACTAAGAGAGACAAATTTGTCTGTCAGTTTGTCATACTGTGGTGGCTTGAGTGTTGCTGTGAGGCTGGAGGCTATGCCACTGGTGTTTCAAATGCCAGCAGGGTAACCCATTGGTGGATAGGTTTCAGTGGAGCTTCCAGACTAAGGCAGACTCAAGAAGGAAGAGGCCATTCACTTCTCAAAGAATTGGCCAGTGAAAACCTTAGGAATAGCAGTGAAACACTGTCTGATATATTACTGGAAAACTTTATGAATAGCCCCGAAACATTGTGTGATATAGTGCCAGAAGATGAGCCCCTCAGGGAAGGCACTCAAAATATGACTGGGGAAGAGCTGCCTCCTCAGTGCAGAGCTAACCTTAATGATGTGGACAGAGTAAAGCTTTTGGGACCCCCATTTGCTGATGTGGTATGTCTCAAGATGAGAGGAAACAGCTGCAAACACCCATTAATAATTAGAACATGGAATGTACTAAGTATGAATCTAGGAAATTGGAAATTTTCAAAAATGAAATGGAACAAATAAAGATCAATATCATAGGCATTGAGGAGCTGAACTGGACTGGTTTTGGCCATTTTGAATCAGATGATCATATGATCTACTATGCTGGGAATGACAAATAGGAGAAGAATGGTGTGGCATTCATCATCATAAAGAATATATCAACATCTATCCTGCATACAGTGCTGTCAGTTTTAGGATAATATCCATACACCTACAAGGAAGACCAGTTAATAGTACTATTATTCAAATTTATGCCCCAACCACCAAAGCTAAAGATGAGGAAATTGAAGATTTTTACCAATTTCTGCAGTCTGAAATTGACCAAACATGCAATCAAGATGTGTTGATTATCACTGGTGGTTGGAATGCAAGAGTTGGAAACAAAGAAGAATCATCATTGGTTGAAAGATATGTCCCTGGTGATAGAAATAATGCTGGAGATCTCATGATAGAATTTTACAAGACCAACAACTTATTCATCACAAATACCTTTTTTCAGCAACACAAATGGTCAGTATACACATGGACTTTGCCAGACGGAGTACACAGGAATCAGATTGACTACATGTGTGGCAAGAGGCGATGGAAAAGCTCAGTATCTTCAGCCAAAACAAGGCCAGGAGCTGATTGTGGAACAGACCATCAACTATCATATGCAAGTTGAAGTTGAAGACAATTAAAACAAATCTACAAGAGGCAAAATGTGACCTTGGTGATATCCCTCATGAATTGAGAGACATAAGAATAGATTTGATACATTGAACACCAGTGACTGAAAACCAGAGGAATTGTGGGATGACATCAAGAACAGCATCCGTGAAGAAAGCAAAAGGTCATTAAAAAGATAGGGAAGGAGAAAAAGACCAAAATGGATGTCAGAAGAGATTCTGAAACTTGCCCTTGAATGGAGAATAGCTAAAGCAGATGGAAGAAATGACAGGATAAAAGAGCTGAACTGAAAATTTCAAAGAGCTGCTCAAGAAGACAGAGTTAGTTATTATAAAGAAATGTGCAAAGACCTGGAGTTAGAAAGCCAAAAGGAAAGAACATGCTTGGCATCTCTCAAGCTGAAAGAACTGAAGAAAAAATTTAAGCCTTGAATTGCTGTATTGAAAAATTCCATGGGCAATATGTTGAATGATACAGGAAACATCAAAAGAAGATGGAAGAAATACACAAAGTCACTGTACTAAAAAGAATTGGTAGATGGTTATCCATTTCAGGAGGTGGCATATGATCAAGAACCAATGGTATTGAAGGAAGAAGTTGAAGCTGCACTGAAGGAATTGGCAAAAAACAATGCTCTGGGAATTGATGGAATACTCATTGAGATGTTTCAACAAACAGTTGCTGTGCTGATGGCACTCACTTGGTTATGCCAAGAGATTTGGAAGACAGCTTCCTGGCCAACTGACTGGAAGAGATCCATACTTATAACCATTTCAAAGAAAGGTGATCCCAGAGAAAATGAAAATTATCAAACAATATCGTTGATATCACACACAAGTAAAATCTTATTGAAGGTAATTCAAAGATGATTGCAGCAGTGTATTGGCAGAGAACTTTCAGAAATGCAAGCTGGATTCAGAAGGGGACGTGGAGTGAGGGATATTGTAGCTGATGTTAGCTGGATCTTGGCTGAAAGCAAAGAATACCAGAAAGATGTTTACTTATGCTTTATTGACTATGCAAAGGCATTCGATTGTGTGGATCATAACAATTGTGGATAACATTGAGAAGAATGGAATTCCTGAACAGTTAATTGTGCTCATGAGGAACCTGTACATAGAGCAGGAGGTTGTCATTCGAACAGAACAATGGGATATTGCATGGTTTAAAATCAGGAAAGGAGTGCATCAGGGTTGTATCCTTTCGCCATACTTATTCAATCTGTATGCTGAGCAAATAATCCCAGAAGCTGGACTATATGAAGAAAAACATGGCATCAGGATTGGAGGGAGGCTCGTTTACAACCTGTCATACACTTACAACACATCTTTGCTGAAAGTGAGGATAACTTGGAGCACTGACTGATGAAGATTAGAGACTACAGTCTACAGTACAGATTATACCTCAATATAAAGAAAACAAAAATCCTCACAACTGGACCAATAAGCACCATCACAGTAAATGGAGAAAGACTGAAGTCGTCAAAGACTTCATGTTACTTGTTTCTACAGTCAATGCCAATGGAAGTAGCAGTCAAGACATCAACAGACATATTGCATTGGGCAAGTCTGTTGCAAAATACCTCTTTCAAGTGCCAAAGAGCAATGATACCTCCTTGAAGACTAAAATGCGCCTAACCCAAGCCATGGTATTTTCAGTCGCCTCATGGGGAGCTCTGGTAGCGTAGTGCCTAAGGCACTTGACTGCTAACCAGAAGGCTGGCAGTTCAAACCCACCAGCCACTCCTCAGAAGGAAGATGGGGCAATCTACTTCCATAGTGATACTGCCCGGGAAACCCAAGGAGGGATTGCTGTGAGTCGGTCCGAGTTGACAGCACATAACAACAACAACATATGCATGTGAGAGCTGGACAGTGAATAAGGAAGACCAAAGAAGAGTTGATGCTTTTGAGTTGTATTGGTGAAGAATGCTGAAAGTACCATGGACTGCTAAAAGAACTAACAAAATCTGTTCTGGAAGAAGTGCAGCTGGAATGCTCCTTGGAAGTGAGAATGGCCAGACTTGGTCTCACCTACTTTGGTCATGTTGTCAGAAGGGACCATTCTCTGGAGAAGAATATCATGCTTGGTAAAATGGAGGGTCAATGAAAGAGGAGAAGGCCCTCAATGAGATGGATTGACACAGTGGCCGCAGCGATGGGCTCAGGTATAATAGGGATAGTGAGGCTGGCACAGGACTGGGCACTGTTTCGTTCTGTTGTACGTAAGGTTGCTATGACTCGGAGACAACTTGATGGCACGTAACAACAACATCAGATCCCTTGGTGGGCCGTAACACCTCACGTTTGCATAGTCCCACCCAGTCATTTGGTGGGAGTTACAAAGACTATGTGTAGAAGAGCCATATTTTATTCACTGTACCACAGCTA